CTGATAAGGAGCATCATCAACAAATATCATGGACATAAATGTCCGTATATGACTATAAGTGAGTATAATAATATATTGTTGGATTAAATTAATTAGCATGATTTGTTTCTATGACACAGCATGACAAGTCAAAGTATATCATGGATATGGGTTAAAACCATGGGTGGACCACGAAGGATATAACCTAGACACTTGAGACATGAAATGTAAGGTTAGAACCTTTGTTGATCGGTTGAATGGGGTGGATGATGTTTAGTACCTTATATAAGGGGAGTAACGTAAAATTGACCCAAAATAGTAATTTTACGTTACTTACTTAGCCAATTTCCGTTACTTACTTGTTACCTACCGACTTAAAACATCTATATTTTCAAAATCAATGTAACAAAATATAATTGTATTTAATGTATTTGAACATTTATGATTTTTTAATGATAATAATACTAAATTGTCTAAGAATTCATAATTACAATCAAATAAAATCTTGTTAATATTTTCTTGAGATTTAATTATTTGTAATGAATGATTTACGATTATTGGATTAACATGACGACGCGAAGGAAATAGAAAATAAAGTGATGAAATTGAATTGCAATTAGTACCGAGAAATCCAAAAAATTTTGTTATGTTATTATTTACTACATCAAAATCAAGTGTTAAACTCTTAATATTATTGATGAAATTCGGATTTTATAAGATTAATTCAATAATTTCATTAAAATATCTATTATCACTACATTCAGCCATTTTAACTTCAAAACTACGTAAATTGACTTCGTTTTCAATGAGTATTAGAAATAATGACTTAAACATTAATTTTGTGAAGTTTGACGGTAAATTTCTATTTCGTATGAAATAATTGGAATGCTGCTCTTTAGTTGTAAAAGTACTACCAACAGCTTTAGCCCATTCTTCAATAGAATTACGAACTTTATATGTATCTAAACGTTGAATGAATCTAGAATAATTAAATAATGTAATTGAAGTAAATAAATGTTATTGATTACATAATAATTTAATTTTGCTTTATCATAATAATTCAAATAATGTAAATAAATTTCAATAAAACGATAATTTTTAGGAAATTTAATTGAAAATGGATCTTCCCATAATAATGGAATTGCTAAACGACACCATAATCTATTAACGAATGTAATGTTTTATAATCATAATGAAAATATTGTATAACTTTGTCTATTAACTCTGGTAAATCTCCTGAAAATAACTTTGAACATGTCAAATTACCAAATGAAAAGAAAGAGAGAAAGGGGGATTTTAAAATTAAAAGTTACGTCAAAATATGTATGTTTTGCAAACATTAAAAAATATTGTACGACAACTATCGGAACTTCCAAATCCGAAAGTGATTACCGGTATAATTAAATTTTAATAACATGAAAACTTGACTGTACCATAGACTATCAGAATGATAAAAGCCCATTAAACTTTGTATTATTTTATTTATTTATTTGTATACATGAATGGTACTCCATTTCTTTTATCTAGTCCGCACAAGATGCGCAATTGAAATTGGAAGTTGTGAAACAAATATCACGTTTTTTCAAAGTAAATCCTCAGATCGGAAGATATATTGTAAATATTTAATATAACAAGTTGCCTTAGTCCTTGACGGGATGTTCTGAGTTATTCCATGTGAGGCAATATCTTGAAATTAGAATTAGGAGTTATAACTGAACATTTATTTTACTAATAAATAACTATACATGTATTAAGAAATGCCAAATTTTGAAATTATAAAATTAAAATTCAAATGATAACTAATCTATTATTATATAATATATTTATCTTGTAGTAATCGCTAATATTCTATTATAACTTCCCATGTTTAGCACAACTAATTGTGATAAATGTTATCCAGGTGCAAATAGTGTATCCAATGACACTGTAACATCTGGTATTGTTAATGCTTGAGTTTTATGTATTATTATGGCTTGATTGCTAACAAAAAAAAAAAAGATCTCAAGGGTTTAGAACGCACCTTATCACGTGATATATATATTAAAATTTGATTGGCTAATTGTCTGGAGCATATTCTATTGTTATGCACTAGGCAATTTGATCGTCCAACCATACAATATTCCTTCTGAAAATATTATTTTTTCTCCCTTTAAATGGTAAAAACTTTGAAATCGTAAGTAAATAGGTAAGAGTTTCTTGACTAAATACTTGTCTATTGTTATTTTCACGTCTCTTTTTTTTATTTGAGGACGTTATTAACAAATCACGAGTAGGAAGGTGAGTTTCTTGATTTTTTTCATTATTTTGGTGCCTTTTTTTTTTATTTAAGTACTATTAATATTTTCTTTCTTTCTTCATTTTTTTTAGGAACACCACGGGTCTTGGTATGGGATTTTTTTTTATTATTTTGCTGTTTTTTTTTTATTGAGAGCGCTATTAACGTTCTCTCCCTTTTATTTTTTAGGTTTACCTGGACTTCAGTATAGGTTTTGAAATCGCAAATATTATTATTGTGGTGTCTTTTTTATCTGTGAACACTCTTTTATTCCTTTTTTTTTTTAGAAAATCCATTTTCAAGTTCAAAAAGAAAAATAAAAATAAAATAAAATAACTTGATAAATAAATAATTAGTTTAAAATAATAAATCATGTGATAAGGGTATGTTTGAAAGCAGGTGTGAATAATTAAAAAGAGAATAATAGATTTTTTTTTATTAAATATATCATTCAAAAATAACTATCTTTTAAATTCTTAAAATTTTCTTAAACAATAAAAAATCATCATACAAGATTATAAGATATCAGATATACTGAAATTACTGTAATAATTTAGGTTTAGTTGTACTTATTTTATTCTTAAATCAAATACGATTAATTTATTGAGTAAAGAAAAAATGTAATAATTAAAAAAAAAAAAAAATTTAATATATCTTTATTAATTTTTACGGTTTACAAATAAAATGAATAAATAAATAAATAAAAAAAAGATTAAGTAGTAAATAAATGTTCATATGCTATGTTTAATTTATAAATAAGATATGTTTAAAATTCTTCCTAGGAAATATTAAAATTTATAAAGACACAACTTTTCACCGCTGCGTAAGCTATTTAAATAATAATAAGAAATATAACGTGTGTGAAATTTTTATGTTTCTTTTGCATCCTCGTTAGATCTATCGCTCGATAAGTTCTTTATTTGTTTCAATAAATTGTTCACAGAAATCTTTTAATCGTTCTGCATCAGATTCTTTTGCTCGTTTTAAAATGTCACGCACATTAGTAATACCAATATGGCGACTATTTATAATTATATCTTCTATTTCATTCTTGAATTCAACACCATAATAATCCGTTGCCTTTAACAAATCAACCAAAAATGTTAAGTAATAAGCTTTATAACTTTGTCCTGCTGGAATATCATTAGGTTTGCGTAAGACGGGTTTTGTTGCTTCTTCAAACGATTTCCCATGTAACCATCGGAGCAATACCCGGAAAATATCTGGACTAGTATCTCTTATTGTAATCACAGATTTGTCCATTGTTGATTCACTTAAGCCGCTGTGAAACATTCTATCAAAATATGTTGAAGCAGCTATATGATAAAAGTAAATAGATTAAAAAATATTGATAATTAAATACTTTGAACAAAAGTAAAGGCATCATAAATACCTGAAAGTACATATTTGTTAGCTCCAATTTTTTCTTTATCAATAATGAAAATAACATCATGATGTTTATTATCCTGTATTTCAAGTTTATTTTGCAAAGAAATGACCAATTTTTCTTTTTGATCGAAAATTGGATTTGGTGATGGTGGTGGAGGTGGTTTCATTACAGAAGCTCCAGCATGTATGAGTAATTCCTTATATTCTTTTAAGTTATCATTGACTTTATACATTCCTTCTCTAACGTCATCATCTTGTATATCAAATGTAAGTTCACTTCCTGCGACCCAATTTTGTTCATCAAATGGATCGTCTCCATTTAAAAATATTTTCTTGTCAGGTTTTTTATCTATTTTCAATTTAATTAACGTCTCGTAATGCTTATGTTCAGAAATTTTATTATTCATCTCCTGGTAGATTTCGTTAATTACACCTTTTAGCTCTTTCTTATACTTATAATTTCCATTCCAAGATTGTTCTTTTGACATTTTTTCAATAACAAACCAATGTTCAATAATATTTTCTGCGGATGGTTTATCAATTCCTTGGTAGCGTTCATTGAATCTTGAGGTTGGATCAACATGTTCATCGAATAAAGGACATTGAGTCCAACATAGGTTCATATATTTACGAGAACAAAGGTTTTCAAAAGATTCAAATAATGAAACCTCCTTCAGCTTCTTGTAAAATTGGGTTTGAATATTCTTTTCTGTTGGAACGAATTTGATTCTCTTAATTTTGTTCCATTGTTCGTTATTAAATTCCAAAGAATTTATATTTTGGTATAAATATTGCACTAAGTTTCTTGCTCGTTCTTTAACTACACTTGGGTTTCCTCGTTCAATCTGTAGTTCAATTTCTTGTACACAATCAACAAATATACTACAATTTACTTGGTGTTTAAGACCGATTCTTTTAAGAGAATTTAAACAATCACGATTGTTTTGTAATTCTGGTGGTAGAATTTTGTCAGTGTCCGCAAAAATACTGCGGAACAATGGATTGTCCATGTCGTATAAAGTATTGGCACTTACAAATTCGGTAAGTGACTTGTTAGGTATCACTTCTTCTTGTTTGAAATATTCCTCAATTTCTGAATTGTTTAACAATAAAACGGCCTGCAAGAAAGGAATATATTCTTTGGGAGGAGTCGAAAATTTGGCGAAACTTGGCAATATTTGATCTTTGACGTAATCTAATTCAGTTATAAAGGTAGCACCTAATTTAATAAGTGTGTTGAAGTCAGATTTATCGTTGCACTTGTAGATGGAGATATCCCTACGAAATGAGAAAAATGGAAGATCGTATGGGAGAAGGATTCCGGATCTTGCATTAATATTATCTTCACAAAAATGTATTGGCCAAATAGGTAAAGAAACAAGAATATCCATAAAATCATCTTGGTGTTTCGCATGTTCTGTTAAAATAAAAAAGGTTATAAAATACAGAATATTGTCGTCTTTAAAATAAATAACCAATATTTATTTCGTTACCTATTAACGTATCAATTTCTTCATTAATGAATGCCCTGAACTTTTTGTAGTCTGAAGGTGATAAATTACTATTCTCAAACAACTGTTTCAAATCCTCCATATTTGTATATGACAAAGCCTTCTCCAAAGAATTAAGTATATTTGTAGGCGTGCATTGCACAACACATTTTTTGAGATCTTCATGAGTATCAAATGACATATCAGTAAAACGTATGTTTAATTTTACTAATATAGAAAATAATCTATGTTTCTCATTTTCATTTTTAGGCGCGTACAAAAGTGGATTTGATATATCAGGTTTTATAAGCATGTTAGAAGGCTTATTCACCGGTAACAGTGGAAATTCCGAAAGTTTTGAATATTCTACATTTTCTTCATATTTAAATATCATTGACCATATTTTTTGAAGCCAATTATTATTTTTATGTTCTCCATTTGGGTCCCATGGAAGACTTATATCTACACTTGGTAATTCGACTTTTAAAAGATCAAAAATTGCTGAAGCATCGAATTTTTGTATATTTGTAACTTTGGAAAATTCGTCACTGGAAAAGATTTCTAACAGATCTTTCGGTAATTTAATAGAGATAAGTCTAGATTGACAATTCGGAAACAAATCTAAATGCTTTTGTTTACCGATATAATAAATTGGTTGTTCACCAAACTTTCCAACAGAACCATCGCTCAATGGGATCAATGGCAAACTAGTTAGTTTCTCAAAAGAATCCTTGTCTTGAAGTATAAAAGTAAGTAATTGGAATAATGAATCCTGTGTATCATCATCGTTACGGATAATATTATTACTCTTAAGTTTCATTAGTTGTAATTCTTTGCATATTAATTTTCCGCTGATAGGTGTATATGGAAAATTCATAGGTTTCTTAGATTTAACAATCTCATCTAATTGTCCCATCTTGTCTTTATCAAGCTTCACAACTCGAATAGGAACTTCTAAGTTAACCAATATATTTGCAATGTCTGATTCCTCTTCTTCGAGAATTCTAGCCTCCTTCAATGAAACAAATTGTCCACCATTAGCTTCAGTCCAGAAAAACTTTTGTTCTTTGACGCCTAACTTCCTAACAACATTTAAACCGTAAATTTTATACAAATCCGTTGAATATTTATTGATAGGCCAAAAATATTTTGCAGTATGAGGTGTGAAATTTGTGCCTTCTTCTAAGTGCCTAGCTTCCTCAAGTTTTACAATATATTCAAGTAGTTTAATATGTAAGTCAGGTAAAACCTCATGTAGAATATATGTATTCCACTTTGCATTATCACAATCGGATTTCAAGAAATCATTTTCAATTTGTAGTCTTGAACTAGATAAAGAAAAGTTTCCGTTCAAATGAACTCCTAATTTGCTGTCCATCGATAGTGATAAATAAGAAAATATTTCACCCTTGAGCTTAGGAGGATTCGGAAACTGCAATATGCAATAAATTAGTCAATGATTTAACAATAGATAATAGTAATTGCAATAGAAAAAATTAACTACCGATTCAGCTTTTAATTCATCCAATGATTTTTCATTTGATCGTGCAAGCAAAGAAGCAACTCCTCCTCTTGGCTTTTTTTTTAACAAATGATTATTAGTTATAAAATCAAATACAATTAAGCATGAAAAAAATCAAATCAATTGAAATCAACCAATTTACCTTGATTCGTTTTTCTTGCGAAAATTCTTTAAGTTCTTTAAACTCTGACTTGATTTTGTCATGTCCTCCCGTACATATAGCCCATATCTCTGAAACTTTTTGTCTGCGATTAATTATTTCAATATCTGATTGATAAATTTGTGCATCATCAATACTATCAATAACTTTTTGACGTGCATCACGACAACTGGCGATATTATCAATTTTTGCTTGCCATATTAGATTTGGGCTTTGTTCCTTCATCTCATATAAACTACATGATTCAATATTTCTTAAAAAGAGCATCTCTTTGTTACCCTCCACATCATTAAATATTCTAAGGATATCGTTAATTTCAAGTACTTGACTTGAAATTTTACTTTTATAAGTCCTAAGTGGAAGTCTAAATAATGTTCCTTTGAATTCTTTTGTAAAGTCACAACCTTCTATGGCCCCATAAGGATAACACTGATCTGGGAAACGTTTTTTAAATTCCATTTCAATAAAATTCATTCGAATACCTTTCAATTTTCTAGGAGGATATCCTGTCGCCGGAAGAAATTTTGCGTGTGGGTCAATAAATGCGATAGTTTCTCCGCTCACTAAGCTTGGTAAATCTGTAATGTGAAAAGCACAATTGAATCCCAATCCAAATTTTCCAATTCTAGTATCATTTTCATTTTCATCACGAGATTTCCCTCCAATTCCGATATTGAGTAATGCTTGAAAGTCTTTCTCTGAAAACTCTGCATCATTGTATATCCATATCGCAGGACCTTGCAATTCTTTCATTTCATTTGTTAATAAAGAATCTTTATGATTAATATGATTTCTTCGATCTACTATTACTGAAAATCGCGTGGCTTTTGCATCATCTGCATTCTGTACGTAAATAAATTTGTTATTCGATATTATTTTTTGAATCTAAAGGTTTGCACTATAACATTACTAAAATTACTTATTACTTACTTGCAGAAATTCTCTAATTATTTGATTTGGAGAATAATCCTAATTTTGTAAACAAAATTTTAGTACATGCTACAATAAAACAACTAATAAAATAATAAAATTAGGTAAATTACTTTGATAATATTGTTAATTCTTGTGGTTAGTAATTCTTTCTGTTCATATGGTTCCCAACTACTACCTCCAGTGTCTAGGTGTGATATTTCTGATGTTAATACATAATTGAATAATAAATAGAACATCATTAAATTTATCATAATTACCGCATATTTTTCCTGTTAAAGTCTGCATATTCAATTCTTTAGCAGTATACCGTGACACTAAGGAATGAGCAATCGCATATTTGTTTTTCTCTTCGTCATCAAGTCTGTTACCCATGTCATCATAATGAATGTTTCGTAAATCTACAAGTACATTTTTAGTACTTGGAATCAATAACCCATTCAACCTTTCCGAATCATTTTCTTTCATGAAAACTCCTATTTGTAATGTTGCAATTTCATCAAGAATCTGAACGACATTTTTTATTTCTTCTATTGATAAATTTTTATTTTCATCCTTTTCAACCATATTTCTAATAACTAAAATTAAATCTTTAGCTTCAATCTTATCTCGAACTCCCATAGCTTTAAATAAATTTATAAATTGCTTATATTCTTTAGGAAGTTTGGTAACTAAGGAGTCGTTACCCGTAAGTTTTTTAGGAAGATCAATAACAACATTATCAGCCGAACGAAATGTATTTTCGCACAAAATCCACGATTTAGTTTTCAAAGAATCTTTCATATCATCGAATTTGGCCTGTTCATTTCGAAATATTGAATCCATATATGTATAAATCGAATTACAGATTAATTGCAAATCCCTTGGTGGTTGTTTTCTAGTTACATATTCACAACAATATTCTAACTGTTTTAGAACCGTATTAACATTAGGATAAGTATTCCAATTTAAAAGATCCAAAAAGTTTACATCCTTAATATTATATTCCAGAATTGGTGCTACAAAACAAACTAGATATTTGTGTTCTTGATAATAACAATCCTGAGGCCTCGAAAAGGATTTCCTTCCAGATTCATTAGCAATCGTGGTCGGAATCCACTCATTTCTTAAAATAGCATCCGAGAGTGTGGTGCTATATAACTGATCCCAATTTTCATCAATATATTTGACAAGTCTCATTGCATTAGTATGAATTAAATCGGGAATGCTAGTTTGCTTTTTCTCTATAATAGTATTTATTCGAGAAATGATATCATTTGTAGTAAGAGATGATTTAATTCCTAATTGTTTCAAATTCGTAAGGAACTTATTATTTGCATATTTGCCGGCGGGAAAGACCCGTTCATTTTCAAAAAATAGATCAATTACTTTCTTTTTTTCAGGGTCAAACAACTGTATTGGTTTAAATAACTTTGGATTATAGGGTAATGTTCTTTGTTTTGACTCCTTATGTGTACCAGCAGGTACAAAAGACTTTCTTCCAAGGTCATTCTTCAATTTTTCGTCAAGTATAGATGGTAATCGATCAAAAAGGTTGTCAACTACTATATCTATGTCTTTTAATGATTGCTTTTCAAGAAATGGGATTACGCATTTTCGCCAATAATCATTTACGGATAATCGGTGAATTTTAAGAATATCTTCCAATATATAACACAAATTTTGCGAGCTAGCGTCAAGAAATCCTCCCTCTCGACTTGGATAGATAATTTTTCCATATGTTTTTTCTTCTTCACGAGGCAAAAGATACCAATTTCTACCCTTAGATGTTAATGAGTTTGACGAATTAGAACCAATTTCAGTAAAAATTGGAAAGCATTTGATAACTTCGGTATGTTCTGACGCTAGTTGATACTGATACGGTTGCAAATAAATAGATAAATATTTAATGAACTTTGATATCTCATTATTTTGTAACTTGCAATTTAAATTTCCTGGATATGAAGGATTAGCTCGGAACGAAGTCAAGACTGATATAATCTCATCAGGCTTGATAATATACGGATTTATCCTAACGAAAGTAAAAAGATATTTAGTTTATTTAAAATATTATAATAAAAGTGATTTCAGAAATACTCACCTATTACACTCAATGTTAAATCTATTGTCAACAAAAACAGCACCAAATTTTTCAAAAATTGAAATATAATCACCAAATGAAGAATTGCCTATTTTACTAAAAAATATTTTTGTAGTAGTTTTTAACTTTCTAAGAGTAGAACGATTTGTTGGTATTAGATGAATATCTTCAAATTTTTTTAAATCCCAATCCCTATAAATTAGGTTTTCCCATAACTGATAAATCCACTCCCGATTATTACTTATTGGTATCTCCTCGCATTTTTTATTTCCTAATTTATATTTGATCATATCGGCAACGGCGGATTCGTCTAAAATTTTGATGTTTAAATTCCATCCAGCTTTTGCATTTTTATACAAACATTCATACAAATCAAAATCGATTGATTTGTCAATAAACTTGTGCAATTGGTTTGTAAACATGTTATCATTATTTCTATTATAATCATCTAGATCTGGATCAAGATATACGTTTGAATTTCTTGATCGTGTTGTTAAAGTACCAAGAGTGCCATCCGCGAGTGGAATCATTTTGAAACCATCTAATGAACTGAACTTTTTATCTTGTAATATGTATTTAAATAATTTTAAGACATCTTTTCTCTCTATTACGTCATGTTCCCATCTAGTACTATTGGATTTTAAATAAGTACGAATAATTGTAGGAGATAAAAGCTTGAGGGAATTTTCGTGTCTAGAATTTTTTAAGGCTCCAATAATGGAGTGCGAATTTAATATAATAGGAAATCCAATATTTTCAATTGTATCATATAGATCATAAATAGGCCATTTTTCATCTTTCAAATAGCCATTGTATATCGAAAGCCAATAAAATTTAGATTCTTGAAATGAGGATGTATCATATGAATCATTCGGTACTCCATTTACTGTTCCGATGGTATTTGATGTAGAAGGTCCTTTGAACACATGGTCCTCAATATCAAGATTTGATACAACGTTTTGCAATAGATCTTTACAAAAACTAATCAATGCACTTTTTTTGTCCCTATTTACTATTGGCCAGAATTTATGCACATCCTTTGGTTGAACTCTAGGGATTTTGAACGGTAGTTCGCGAAGAAATTTTGCCCAAGCTTTGGGTAAAACTTTTTCAAATAAATATCGATTCCATTCAACCTTCAGACGAGCCAATGCATCAGCCGCCTAAAAAATTCAATTTTCAATTATTAAAGTATATATGCGTATATGTGCAATAAGAAAAAAAGTAATTTGTAAAATTTTCGATTATTTACCAAGTCCTCATTATCTGCAGCCGACCATAGAGCACGTCGATTAGTACTAACCTATTAAGCAAAAGCAAATAAAAAAAAATGATTTAATATCAACATTATATTCAATGTCAAAGATTACTTGATTCCTACCGCAAAATATCCATGCACGGAAACGTGAAAAGGCATATTAACTGGAAGAGGTAAAAAGCAAAATAATTTTCCAGTAACTTCTAAATCACTCAAAGGTAGAGCTAAACCAACATTTGGAATAAATTTATATTCCCCAATATTTCTCTTAAAATTTTTCTGAAAATATGCTTCGGTTTCGAGTAAACTATCAAGATAATTTAAAATCAACCAATTGTTAGTTTCTTTACTACAGCCTCTCTCCTGTCTAGAGAATGATGCGACATATGATGATGTTTCTAATTGGTCGTCTCTTAGTTCCTTTGATTTCAGCGAATTCATCATAGGTACAATATTTTCAGATATCAAACGACGTTGGCTTCGAACTTGATCAGCATTCTCCAATTGGATTGTATAAAGCAATTCGAGTTTATTAGCGCCCTCTTTCAACTCATAGAAGCAAATACGTTCAACATGTTTTAAAAATAATAAGCAATTGATGCTTTCATTTTCGTAAAACCTATGAAACATTTCCAAGATTTCTTGTGTCTTATAAATTTTTTTAGAAATATCCGATTGATCATTATCACGAAGAGGATAACGAAAGATAGTGCCTTTAAATGGTTTTTTAAATGGACTAGTACTAGACTCATTACACGGGATTATGAAAGGATCAAATTGATCACGATAACTTTCGGCCAAATTTTTTTCAACAAAGTTGAAACTTTTTCCACCATTATAATACCATTTATGTGGATCAAGAATAACGTATTTATCACCAGTAATGAACGTAGGAGAATCAGTGATATGATAAATTGAATTAAACCCGACACCCATTACTAAAGATAATAAAGATAATTTATAATATATATAGTAGATAAAGTTATTAGCATGATATCATTGATGCACAATACTAAAAAAAAAAAAATTTTTTTACCTCCAATTTTATCAAATTGGTCACGTTTTTCACTATCAGCAAGTTTTAACAAGGAACTAAAATCTCTTTCCTTAAAAGTTTCACTATTTATTGCTAAAAGCGCGGGACCTTGAAATCTTCGCAATTCTGGTTTAAATAATTTATTGGACGAATACGTATTATGGTCCAAAATAAAAATTTGTTCAGTACTTTTAGCATCATCTGAATTTTGAAGAATTTCACGAAGTACTTGTGAACCATCTGGATATTCTTCAAGAATTCTACGTAAACGATGAGTGTAAGGTTCATTTGGATTAAAATCGTCTCCTTCTGGTTCCATTTTTTTTATTTGAAATTAAGAATATATATTAAATATATATTGTGTGATATTATGAAAATTTCAGAAAGTTAATAATAACTTTCCGATAACGAAATAATAAAGGAGAATTTAGTGAAGTTTTAAAAAATTTTTAATTTATAAAAACTTCTGGGATTTTGATTTTTTTTTAAACGATGCATCATGTTTATTTATAAAGTTTTTAAAAAATCTGGTGTTCAAAAAATAGTTTGTGATAAGATAAAGCATTTGGAAAATTGATTTTTTTTTTTCTTATTAAAGCGAATAAGGTGCAGAGCAATAATAGCACTTTGTATTCGAAACAGATCCATTCGTGTATTTCTTAATAAAGTAGGAACTTTGTTTTGAACGCTAACGCCATATCAAATAAACTTCTATTGTATCCAAGAAAGGTAATTACTTATTCCTTAATAAAGTTTACAAAGCATAATTGGGAGTAATCACTCCGTGAATAGTGACGATCATAACCCTTGAAACTGGTGTAACAGATACAAAATTAAAAACTAAGGGGGTAACAACGGGAAAACGATTTAATTTTTGGCCACGTTGTTTAGTTTTCAAAACAGTATTTTTGTAAAAGTCGTAACTTGTGATTTTTGTACAAATTACGTACAGTTTCAAATTTTGAGTAATACAATTTTTTGTACTTCATATTATAAGAGATTTTGTGTGGTACAATTAATTTTTGTACTCCGTATGCAGATTGCATATTTTATTTCAAATTCCTAATGGTTGAATACTAATTTGGCTTTGGATTGCCAATTAAGAATTAGCCAACTACGTACTTGTATAAATTATCACATTAGCTATAAGTGTCCAAGATTCATGTTTATGTCGATCACGTCGTTTTGGTAATGTAAATACGGCGTATTAAATTTTATCCCGATTGAATGGTTATTGGACAATTTTTATTGGTATTATTAACACCTATTAGAAAATAAAATAGTGATTTATGATCTGTCACATTCTACTCGGCAAAAGAATTTAGAATGCACGATTACTATGTACATAATATTCTGTAATAATAAGTTCATGTTTTAGCTACGTTTCATATTACTGCGAAATAAAGTTCACTATCGTATGAATGTATACCAAATGTGTCAAATTTTAATTCAGTTTTTTGCGCATAATATTACATATTACGTCTGATCGTTGATCGAGTGGGATACCACATGAAATATAATTATATTTCATGTGGTATCCCACTTATCCTAGATTATAGTATCACATATAATCTACATATCACATATAATCTGGATATCACATTTGATCTAAATGTCACATAAAATCTAAATATCACATATATTCTGGATATCACATATGATCTAAATGTCACATAAAATCTAAATATCTCATATGATCTAAACAATGTAATCTAATTACCACATATGATCTTAATGATGCGGTCTAAATCTCACATATAATCTAACATTTTATTATTTCTTATATCGCTTTTACATTCTAGTTATGTCTTTGAGTCTTTCTTAGTATTCGTGTTTTTATGTTAATATACTTTTTATTACCACAATGTAATCTAAATACCACACACATATAATCTAAATACCACGGTTTTCTTCTTGTTTCTTAGTCATTTGCATGCTAAATTTTATAATGCTATTGTCAACCTTCTGTAGCTGTTTGGATACCTGGTTTTTTGTCGAGGTGTTGACCTTCTGCGCCTGATTGAATGTCAAATTCTATATTAAAGTACTTACCTTTTTGCGTCTATTTGGTTGCCTTTCTAGATACCGAAATAGTGTAAAAAAAGGTGTCGGGTGGCGCAGTAATTCGATCTAGATCTGTGATTAATTTTGGCTGACATTATGCCATAATTTTGGCCGATCTTTTGGACATGTGATTCGAGGATCTAGCTTGGTATCATGTTGGTGACTTGATAGTGTCCTGGAACCTCTGTGGAGCTGTCGTGGAACTAGTGAGGAACTATCATGGAAGTGTTATGGAATGTCATCTTGGATGCTGACTTCTTATACCCAAAGTTCTGACCGAAATTGTGGAATAATGCTGGCCGGTACTGCGCCTTACTGTGCCAGTCACGTGATACTGTTCCGACGCCAGAACACCCTCCGTCGTATAACATATTGGTTAGTTTTGGCTGGCACTATGATGAAGATAACTCTAGCCGATTTTTGGTCACCCGATTTTAGGATCCATTTTGGCACCATAGTAGCGTCATAGAAGTGGTAATGTATTAGTATAGTTCTATTAGTTCACTCCATATGCCAGTATATGTATGCCGATTTCGTGTCCGTGGTTGGAGGTGCATTATGTATTATCATGGCCGGCCCATTTATACCATGCCCGAGTACATATCTAGAAGATGGAGGCTTCTGCCAATATTTCTGAAGAAGCTTCATATCATACCCGGGTGCATATCTAGGAAGGATAAGTCGCGGTGGCTATACCCACATACACCCGAATACATATCTAGAAAGATGAAGGCTTCTCCCAATATTTTATATAATGATTTCGGAGTTACCTTCACTTTCAGTTGCATATTTCGTTGCCTTCCTTTTACGTTTTGCCTACTAAATTCACTATCGTTTCTTTTTGCATCTACCGAAAAAAATCCCTTGTGCACTCTCTCGCTGGTTTTTATTTTTCGCCCGAGCCCTGCCCATCTCTTGGTGAGGCTTATTTGGTTGCCGGTTCCTGTGTTATATCACTTGTGATCTGTTGTGGCGAGGCCCGTTTATACCATACCCGAATACATATCTAGAAGATGGAGGCTTCTGCCAATATTTCCGAAGAAGCCTTCATATCATACCCGAGTACATGTCTAGGAAAGATAAGTCTTTCGCGGAGGCTATATCATACCCAAGTATATATCTAAGAAGGATAAGTCTTCTTCCAATATTTTATATAATGATTTCGGAGTTACCTTCACTTTCAGTTGCATATTTCGTTGCCTTCCTTTTACGTTTTGCCTACTAAATTCACTATCGTTTCTTTTTGCATCTACCGAAAAAATAAATTAAACATTTCCGAATTTTATAGAGATAGTATAACTTGTCGAACTAACACCATGCATACCTCAACTATTTTCGACCAAACCGATCGCTCCGGCCCTCTCGTTTACTTCAACGGCGCCGGCCCCGGTGAATACTTAAGTGACTCAGATAGCTATAATGATAATGATAATGATTCTGATTGCGGATCAGATGATTATAATAACTACGAGTCTAATTATGAGTCCGATAATGAAGAAGCTTTCTGCGCTTCATCCAGCACTACCGAAGCTGTGAAAGAACGAAAGGTTAATGTGACATATACTTTGAGGCAAGAAAACTTCAATGATAAATTTTCCCCTAAGGATTTGCTAAATGCCATTCGGGGAATTCTCTCATCACCACCTAGAGATATGTCGAATGACAAAGGGTCATTGGATTGCCTCCCAATCTATTCATTCTTATTTCCGAATGAAAAAGGCTCTAGCTTGTATAATGCCTATGACCGAAGTGAGGTGGAAGATAAATTAGTTATCAAAATCGACCAAGATGGTGATCATGCCCCCAAATTTTCTGTTGCCGACAACATTTCTGAAGTATATGGCTTACCTGGGATTCANAATTAGTTATCAAAATCGACCAAGATGGTGATCATGCCCCCAAATTTTCTGTTGCCGACAACATTTCTGAAGTATATGGCTTACCTGGGATTCATGAATGTATTAATGGTCAGAAACCTTTAAGAGCCGTGATTGACATAGATGCTTCGCAAAAAGATATGGAAACAACTGGTGTAAAGGCGCAAGAAGTATTCTTTCGAATCTGCCTATCTTTCATAAGAGCCTTGTATCGAATTCTTGATTGTGGCTGGGAGGACATTCTCAATGGATTAGTAATCGCTACATCATCGGATCCTAGCAAGTGTAGCTATCATATTTTATATGCTCCAGCTCTTCTTATTGATCATTGCGAACTCAAGGCATTTACCGAATTAGTATATACCATAACCGGTGAAAAATTCGGCAAATATATTGATAGAATATTGCCTGGTCAAAATTTTAACCTCCGCCTAATTGGTTCGGCAAAAAAAGGTCTTGTAAAGCGTATTCTTCAATTCTCTCTAGATAATGGCTGGAATGAACTTGATCACGCTAGGGTTCAACCACCTACTAGTTTAGGACTTGAAGTAAGACCTCGTATGCTTAGCACAGAAAAAAATAATAATCCGCTAAGACTATTCGTAAGTTTGGATATATTGCAAAAATATGCAGAACTAGTTTTACAAAAACATTCTAGCTATCTTAGGGATTGGATTATCAAAGAAAAGGACTCAGAAAACTTCATATATTTTAACCGAAAAGCTCCACTAGGATGTCCACTCTGCAAACGTATACATGACAAGGATCAGCGGTGGTTCAGCCGTGTATGCGCTAGTAGTGGAAGGTTCATCGTAAAATGCTTTCGGCAAAATAGTGATGAGCGAGGGGTAGTTTTTGAATGTGACCCATCTATTGCAGAAAAAATTCAGCAAGAAAATAAAAAATCTCTGCAACCCTCTCACAAAGTCAAGATTCCGGGCTTTCCTAAAGCCTTCGTTAATTTCCCATCTTGGGCCAAGTATAATGAGTCCCTTTCAGCAACAGAAACATATGAGGAGAGATATGTAAGACCATTACCCAATGAAGGCGATATCTATGTTGGATCACCTTGGGAGACAGGAAAAACATATGTTCTAGAGCATCTTACTATATCCGATGACGTGAATTTGCTAGTATTATCTACGCGCCACTCTTACTCGAATGCTGTTACTACAAGACTCAATCTCAAATCATATTGTGATATTGATGGTAATATAAATCTACCTGATCATAAGAGGGTAGTATGCCAGATAGAAAGCTTACATCGGATTACTAATAATTGTAAATGTAATAAAAAATGCAAATGTCTTCCAATCCAATATGACTTGTGGCTTGATGAAATAGTGTCTATAATCGCTCAAGCACAAAGTCATCTGGCGGGTCAATCGATAGAAAAGTTATATAAATTGATCCAAGAGGCTAGGCGCATTATTGTAATGGATAATGACCTAACTGACCTCAACATTGAATGGATTAAGGCCCTTCGTAAGGGCATACCTCTCTCTATTATCCACAATACTTATCAGCCTCAGAAAGGTAAGACATTCCGTCTAGCCCCTAATAAAGAAACAGTATTAACTGAACTTTGGGACTGGGCCAAGAATACGTCTTCATTACCTTTTGAGAATAGAACAAGTGCGTCACTTATTTGCCATCTTAGAAAAGACATGCAAGGAATTGTTCGCTCCCTTGAGACTGATTTTCCAGAATTACGGATCAAGGAATACCACGGCAAGTCTGATCCAGTGGAAAAGGCTCATGACTTCAGCAACGTAGAAGAATCATGGAAAGACGTAGACCTAGTTGCCTATACTAGCACTTTAAAAATAGGAGTATCCTGCACTAATCCTAAGTTTGAGCGAGCATTCTGTCTTTTTAATAGTTACATAGAAACAAATTCTGGAACGAATCAGATGTTATTCCGCATGCGGTGCATTAAAGATTATATATGCCATATTGAGCAGAGATCTTCTAATGTTCCAGTCACAGAGAAAGGATTATTCCAATGGTTGTTGAATGCTAAACGCGAATGTCTCCCCCGGGAACTTCAGAATAGAGGAATATTTCCAGATATAGATTCTATCATCCGGAATAAGGATGTACCGACTGTTCGATTGTGGGTGGCCTATATGTTAGAAAAATTCCGTTTCCGGCGTTTATTTGGTTGGAGAATGGTCGATTTTCTCAGAGAGGCGGGTATGATAATTTCCATCATAGATCCCATTCCTAAGTCTGAAGAAAATGTTGTATCATTATCTCAAGCCGTGAAGGCGAATTCCTCTATCGTTAAAGCAGAGGAGATATCAGATGTATCCAATGCCACTATTGTCGATCGTGAGACTGCCGAATTTCTAGAGAACAAGTCAAGAAAAACTTTAGAAGAAATGCGATCTCTAGATCGGCATCATATTGTGGAATGTTATGAGATTTTGCCTGAATCATTGACCGAGAATTTCATCTCCAAGTATGGGAATTACAATCACATGAAATGGTTTAGGGCTTATAAGCAATTACGAGATGCTGGTACTAACAATGAAACGGCCGTTGAGGCTATATCCTGTAAAGATTACAGAGATGATAGGCTCACAACTGCAACCCGGGCTGATAAGCATCGAATTTGTCTGGAGTTGCTAAGAAATTGTACACCCGTTAAAGATATTGACGATAGGACACGTTATAAAGCTAATGATGTTAAAACACGCATGGAATCTCCTGATTCGATATCATATCTCCAGGATTTAGTCTTTAAAATGGCTCGAGTTTTTGATAATACAGATGCATTGCGCAGTGCTAAAAAATTGGGATTAAAAACAGTTCGAGCAAAACTTGGTTTATTAAATGCATCACTTTACGCAACTTATGGATTAAAATTTAAGGCTATAGATAAGAATCTCAAATATTACCATCTGGTTGGGTCATTTGATAGCAAAGATGCTCCTGAGTTACCTTCATACCAAACAGGAAGGGAAATTTATTGGGAAAATGGGAAAGATACTCGATATGGGTATAGTAAACTCCCACCCGATGAATTATTGATGGAAAATCTTTTGGAAAATAAGCAGACTAAAGATAGTTCCAGTTCTAATGTGAACAATATGTCAATTGCGAATGATATTCAAGACTTATTTGATATTGCGTAAGCAGATTTCATTATAAAACAATCTGGATATACTACTAGACTTCACAAAAATAGGTCATTCATTCGAAGATAAGTCTTCTTCCATTATTTTATATAATATTTCCGAAGAAGACTTATCCTCAGAATATATTCCTTCCCTTAGGTTCGCAAAGTAAATCCCCTTAGAGCCTCGGATAAGTGGTAAGAAAAATGACACTATCATTTAAGAAGACGCTAAAAGCGGTAAACTAGCAAGACTTCCATCTGATAATATCTAGTAGTATTTTTTTGCTCACTCCTCAGCAGAGAATTCAGAGAGAATTCTGGACTGAAGGGCCTCAGCCACATACTTCTGCCTCATCCGGTAATTGTGCGAATAAATCTTAGCAGAGTGGCTGGAGCAATACCCTGAATCATTATCAGTATGATATCCACAACCACTAAAAAGGCAGGGTTTTTTTTTCTGATTTTTTTCATACAATTTCCAGTGCCTATAACACCCGGTGGGGTCACAGCACTTATTTCCACAAATAGTGTTATCCTTCTTGATATGTGCGCAAGTAAAGCGAGCCATGAAAGTATTTTAGGATATAAAACCCTCTTTCACTTTTAATTTCATAATAAAATATGTATTTAAATTAATCGGCAATATAATGAGATAAATTATCTTTTCATACTAACGCTATGGATACATTAGACCAGCCGACAGAAGCCTACAAAAAAATCTATAATCCCAAATCTAATCGCATGATCATTATAAATGGGCCAGCGTATCGTAAAATATTATGTGATGGTTATATGCATTGGAAAGAAGAAAGGCTTTTAATCCCGCTTTTACATGAATTGCCGATATTAAGAAGTTATCTTTCTTTCATTTCATATCGTGTCTGGAACATTGTATCGGAAAGAAGTTTACTAGCAGTGGTTAACGAAAAAATAAGCCTATTGCAGATTTTACTCAAAGCTAATTGGCACGATTTTACTTTATGTCAACTATTAAAATTATGCTGGGAGCGTGAAGAGACGAAAGCTTGGAGGAATAACGTACTCATGATATTCCTCTATCACCCGAATTTTGCTCCTTCAAAGTATAGGCCAAGTGCTTTATATGATGCATTCACCAAGACAAATGTTTTAGGACTGGAACATATATTAGCTCTAGCGCGTGCACTTTACTAAAATGTGAATCGATACAGACAATTCGTTCATAGCCTTGGAATGGGGGTTCCATGACTATGTATTTTTTTCGCATATCCTATCTACCCGCAATTTTCAAATATATATAAAACATATCTCGGCCGGAGCAGGTGGCTCAAAGAGACCTCCCAAAAGTTATATATTTTTTTCCCTTTCTCTAACCCTTCGATAGTTTTTACCGACCATGGGGTAGTGAAATTACGGAATATTTTCGAATTGAACTTTTCCCACATAATATAATCTGAATACCACAGATTATCTAACTACTACATATAAACTACATACCACATAATGTCCGCAATTACAACTAAGTTCATTACAGACCACCAATTCACCAATGAGATGAGTATCGAAGAGCTCAGTCAGTATGCGCCAGAAATGCGTGACCTCTTGGGAGATAATAGAGAGAAAAGACGCCAGGCTCGTAATCGTCTTCAAAAAGGGTATAAATTTAGCAAAGGACAGGCATTCGCATTGATTCCTGACCAGAGAATCGAGCGGTACATAAGTCAAGTACCGTTCCTAGAGGAACTAGGATTAGAAGCCGAAGTGAATATAAGCCTAGTATCTGAGAACGCCCCAGAAGGCGAGACTATTAGAGAAATGGCTCAACGTATTGTTCGGGATAATCTTAGTGAAAGAAATGTAAAAGCGATATCTATAACTTTAGCTGAAACCGCCTCCGATCCTATCGTTGCCTCATCACGTCTCTCCAGGCTTCGAAGAGAATTGCGAACCCTCAATGCTCCAGAAAAAATAATCTCTGCTACCAAGATTCCGGAGATAACCAGAGCATCTAATAAAATCCAACAGGAGCGTACTGAGCAACGTAAAAATGAAGGACTTCATTATCCGGACCACTTCTCGTTAGAATCAGTTAAGGAACGGCTAGATTTATATGTTGTGTCTAACACACCCGATAAACAGGCCCTAGCTGATGTAATGATCATGCTCTGTATCCGCCCTGCTGAAATTAAAAACTTGCGCATAGCAAATGGAGGTGTAACTGGATACGCAAAAAACCGAGGCCAACAGGATGTTCCTCGGGTGTTTAGATCATTGGAAAAAAATGAGGAGCGGGCAAGAGAATTACTTACATGGATTCAGGAAGCAGTTTCTTCCGGACAGTTAAGAGACCCCGGAAAGCCTGGATCGACATACTTAAGTTCATTTCTGAAAAAAGATGAATATATTCCTAAACCTTATGAGCCATTACTCCCTAGTTCTTTGCGCAAATTAGGGGCGGTATTTGCTTCTGTAGTGCATGGGCCTAAAAATCCGTCAAAAGCCAATACTTATGCCAGTGAAGCCCTTCGACATTCGCCTGATAACCATGCTTCTCCATCTGATAGATATACTATAGTTAATTTCAGAAGGAGAGGACAACCTTATGATCAAGCAAAACCATTCTGGATTTCTGATGAAAACTAATCAGATATATGGGTTAGAAGATCGGGAGGACTAATTTATCAGTCTGATATCATTTATTAATTTTATTTTTTCGCTTGAGACAAGATCTAGCATATAGAATATATTACGAAAATGGTAGCTGATCAAAAGTATTCATCTGATATATCCAACGAGCAGGAAGTTATCAGGCGTACAGAGAAATTAGCCCAGTCATTAGGACTGGATGAGCAGAATACAAGAGCATATAAAGCACTCTCTGGACAGATTTGGGCATTAGAAAAAAAACTGGAAGATTATCATATCAAATATGTAAAGCTTAAAAGGAAGGTCAATTTATTGGAAGATGAATTGGAAGATGGATTGGATGATCTGGGCGAATGTGTAGATAGGGGAGCTGTGGTCGACTTAATACATGAAATAGTTCCCTCGCTAATTAGTAAAAAAGGGCCGAAAGGCGATGTGCATAAAAATTCCTACTATTCGTCTGAGTCTTCTGAAGATTCCGATTCGGTTGAGGTAAGAGAAAAAAAGGCTATCCCTCATGCTTTAGCGCCTTTAGCAAAGCAACGAAGAAGGGCGCGACCGAGAAAGGTTAAGTAAGTGATAGTTTAAAGAGATGAATCAGGCACTTTGTATATTTTTGATCAAAGATAATTGAATCGGACAAACTATCTGGTAATGGCTAAAAAATCAAGAAATAACAGGCGCAAGACAATGGGTAAGTTTACTACTAATCCCACACAATATTTTTCCCTATGCAATCCAGCCAAATATGAGCACACATATGATAGGGCAACCGGCTTTATCACTGTCAAGAATAAAAGACAGGATAGGATTGTAGGCGTGTTCGATTATCCCGAGCTGAGTGAATATCTGGGAGTTCGATCCAACTAGTCCGGAGCGGGCCGTGAGGTGATTCTCATGATCTTCAGCTCGGAAGAATTTGCTGGGCCACTCCTGTGCGACAGAAAAATAAGTGGATCATCAGTCAGGTCTTGTGCGACATATTAATTTTTGCATATATATTCGAAAAACATATTAACCTTTATTCTTTATTTTTTCCTGAACAATCATGAGAAAAATGGCCTGCTTCACAGGCGCTTCGCTTGAAAGGAGGTCTACATGCAACACAGGACCAACTCTAAAAGTAAATAGTGACGATAAAAGCATATGTTATGAAAGGCTGAGGGACACGCAATTCCGAGATCGCCAGGCGTAAAACCAACTATGTCTTTCCGGTAGATCTACATGTGAAAAGGTAAGAGGATTCCGTTTACATGTGCTTTCAAAGAGTTCTTGGCATCATACGACAATGCTAATTACGCCTCATACTTCCTTAACTCTTTCCCAGCAAGATATAAAGCATGTAGGAATATGTGGAAGTTCAGCCAACTTTCCGCAAAAAATATTCCTGTAAAATAGTTTCACTAGCGTAACTAACGCAAAATAAGGTATGTATATGCTAGAAGTTGTATATGTATGGGAGCGAGTTCTTCTCACTATGGGTTCATGAATTTAGGAAAGCGAGATGTCATCCACTACCCAGAAAACTAGCAATATTTGCCTCAACTGCTTTGTTCGTGACGAGACTGTGGAAGATATTTTCCCTATAGTAATTGATAGGAAATTGACCGCCAATAACCTGGAAGCTACGATCAAAAGTGCCCGGCAAGATTTACAAGAAATAAAGATTGATCTATATAGAAAAGATTTCGCTCAGGACAATCCTGCTTTGGTCTCTACTGTAAATAGCTCTAAAGAAAGACAGGGGGTATTAATTGATCCGCAAAAAAAAATTTCTCAATATTTTTCCGAAGCTGATGCTCTTCCAGTTTATCTCCCGGTAGATGGAAAAAAGGGTCCTGTTAACATCATCATATACCCTGAGGTAGTGTTGAAAAAAGAACCCGATGATATTGGGCTCTAGCGAATCGGCATAGAGTTGATTAGTATTTTTATTCTTATCATGTAGCGATAGGCCAATTTTTATGTAATGTAGGCCGGCTACCGGCAACCAATATCTTTTATTTCATAAATAAAGTATTATTATTTTATCGGTACATGAGAAATGGGTCACGTGTAATGGTGCGGTTCATGTAATATCAAGATGCTAAAGCATAAATCTAACATTTTTATCCAAACAGCGACAAGCGCGTCTAGCCTATATAAAAATCTCAGGTGATATGTGAGAAGAGTCTTCACGGTTAGGGAGGCGCAGTGATTAGGCGATTGTTGCACCTATGATGCAATGTGGCCGATCATACGGCAGGCTTGTGAAACAGTTGAATTTCTCACATATACCAGCCCTCAGAATTTTTTTCGCAAATAAAATTCTTTTTACTCTTGTCCTCACATACGCCAGTTTGCACCAATAATATTCCACAAAAAATACTATATAAGCCGGAAACATGTCTATCACTTTGTTCTGTCTTGTCAAAGGGAATACGTCCGAGAACGCTTTCTCAGTTAAAATAAGTAGAGACGAACCTATTAGTGAACTCAAGAAAGCTATTAAGGCAGAAAAACAAAATGACTTCGCTGGTATTGACGCAGACAGGCTCAAGCTATGGAAGGTGACGATCCCTGGCGATCAGGACGATCAATTAAGAAATCTAATACTCCAGGACAGTGACGAATTGTTGGCAATAAGAAAAATTTCGAAGTACTTTCCAGACTCACCTCTCGAAGAACATATCCATGTTATTGTAAAATTGCCACGTAAGTGTCTGGTATAGTCTGTGTAAAGCGCATTAACGGCTAATTTTTCGTCATTTACCCTCGCATAATTTTAACTCATTCGTTTCCAGTTCTCAGCTTGGAAGAGGCGTTATCGTGTATTCCACCACCCATAACATATTCTCCGGACTGTACTAAATCGAAGACCACTACAAAGGTTAATGGTGACCCGCCGACAAGTGTACAACTATGGGGCGACTTTTTCGATAAAGTGAATCAATTCCGCTTCGACCAACAACCGATATTCGAGAGGCCATAATTTAACCAAGATATAGAGATAGTCAATGAAGAGGATGTTCGCGTTGCTATATCTATCAACATTTGTTTGATGTTAAATAAGCTTATAGGATCAGATTATAATTTTTCAAAACGTCCACCTACTTCTCCTGGCATACCGGATTTCACCTGTCATCTCGTGGGTTCTTTTATCTTGGTGATTGAGGCAAAAAGAAAGCATGTTTTAGAAGATATGGGTGAATATACATTTCCCGAGTTTTATTATACGAGTAATGGCAAGGATGTATTTCAACAAATCTATAATTATATGGGAGTAAATGAACTTATATACGGTATTCTTACCACTTATGATAATCACTGGTTTCTATGCCGAGAACACACGAAGCTCTGGATCTCAAAAACCCTTTCACTGGAATCCGAATCTCCACCCGTACTCAAGGCATATGCTTATCTAACTCGAGAGGCGAAAGAGAATCCCAACTCTCCTAAACCTCAAGTACTAGTGCCGGCTCAAGGGGATAATAATTCACGAACACTTCGATCAAACTCAAAATCATCATCCAGCTCTTCAATAACTAATCAGGCTTCCAGCACCTCCGCGAATCAACAATCGTCATCCGCCTTTGGCGCTTCCAACGTAGACCAGGAAAAGTTTAGCTTTGCAGACTTCAAGTTTAAGAGCATACTAGGTGAAGGACGAAGTGGAAAAACGCTCCTATGCGAATTTCGTGGCGATACGATTGCTTTGAAGAGTGTAGACTTATCGAAGGCCCCATCGTATGTTCTGAAAGAAATGCAGAAGGAAGTAGAGATTTACAAGGAACTCGCTGATATCCAAGGCAAGTATATCCCGAAGTTGGTCTGTTATGGATATTATGGAGGAGGTATGAGCTTCGTTATCGGCATGACTATTGTCGGCACTTCGTTGAGCGACCAAAAAATAAAGAAACAGCAAAAGACAAGGGCTATTAAGGGATTAGAAGCGATCCACAAGCATGGCATCCTCCACAATGACATTCGGGAGGAAAACATCTTAATTAACGATGACGGTGGCGTCTATCTGATTGACTTCGGTATGGCAAGTCGGGAGGACACAAAAAAGAAGAGAAAGCTTTTCGAGGAGGAACAGCTCAAATTATCTCAATTGCTAGATGGATATATTGTGTAAGAGTCTAACTATTTCGCAAATTACTGTATTGTGATTTCCTGTAATCCTAGTGTCTTATAATTAATAATCATGTATTTTACAGACATTTCTTAAAGAAGGAGGGGCGAACTTCCAAGTCACGTAAATGTAAGGTGGTTAGTTAGACTGTAGGATTAGACATTAGCATAGACGTCATGTATCAGTTGTATCACGGGCTAAGTCCCGATCTTGTATTTATTTTTCGCATGTATTAATAAAAAATTTTCTTGGCAAATTTCAGCGAACTCGGTTCGCCCAAAATCACATGATATATATTTTTTATTTTGAATGCTTATATGCAGTGTATTAGTTATATATAGACCATGGCATCCGAGCTTGAGTTATCGAAACAGCGTATCACTGAACTTGAGGCTGAGAACGTAAATCTTAGAAGAAAGCTCTCGGTGTCTGATGCTGAAATAGCTGAACTTATGCGCAGGAATAACGAGTTTCTAAGAGCAAATAAGGAATATAACGAGAGGCGTGATGCTGAAAATGCCAAACTCAGGGCCAGAATCGAGGAGTTGGAGAAAAACAAGGAAGATTCTTCAGCCGAGAATGTTAGGCGTGATGTTGAAATTGCTGAGATTAAGGCTGAAGTAGTGAAACTAGCCGAAGGCGCTCAGGCAAGAGACAATAACGAAGAAAGCAAACAGTTAACTTCCCGTCAATCAGAGGCTATTTCTAAAGAAATGATTTCAGGATATGATCAGAATACTATAGATGAGATAGAGCCTCAAAGCTCTGTTTCCTCGAATAATATTAATCTGGCATCGAATGAGGATGTGAGCGATCATGCTTTATCGCCTTCGGCTAAATCATCGGAGGCAGTCGCTTTCTTGAATGGGGAGCATAAGAAAAGGGTTAGTGAAGAGATTAGGCAAAGGAATAGAGAGAAAAAACTTCAGCGAAAAAACGAACAGGGTATGATTCAAGAAGTTAATTCATCCATGAAAGAAAAACACTTTCTCCCGGTTGTGACTGAAATTTCAGCGAACCAAGTTCGCCCAAATTCTTTAGCAGAGATAGATGAAGAGCGAGCGGTCCTCCCTGATATTATTAATCTATATGAAACTGCGTGCGGTGCGGAAAAGAAAGCAATCGAAGCCAATAGAGAAGAAACTTTGCGTTGGTGTTCCTATGCTAGAGAATTCAAGAGAATGTATAAAGATTTTATGGTCAACAATAAAGTTGGGGAAAAGAAAGCGAAAGGTCAGGTATATGATTTTATTATCAAACAACTCCCCGATACTAAACGCAAAACTTTATGTAGGCAAACACAGAAAGCTTTGAGGATTGACGATTTATTCGAAAAAATAGGAATGGACAAGCTTCAATACATAAAAACATATAGTGCGGATACTATTTCGAAATTTACTGTTCCTCAGATTCAAACAATTATAGATCACTTCACCGAAAAACGTTCACAAAGTGAACAATTCACTGATGAAGCCGAGGATGAAGAACAAGATGACGAGGTCCCAGAGGGATCCGATCAGAATAATGCATTGGAGGTCTTGTCATTAGCAAAGCTAACATCAACTGCACCTATCCCATTAGCCCATATCCCTAATTCTTCAGATGATACCTCCAGCTCGAAAAAATTGGATACCAAGGTAGAGGTAGTACCACCTATTCCTCAACCCAATAATCCAACCCACGTCCAGGCCCGCAATAAAGTCTTAAAACTCTATCCTGATATATCTTTTCATAGTAAACCCTCCGATGAATCTGAAGATGTATATCGTTGCAGAACAAAGTCTTCAATATGCCCATCATGTAAGACGAATCATAAAGAAAATATAGTAGGTCGATATTGGGAGGGATCTTATCTTTTGAGTTGTATGTATAAGATGAAAGGACTCGAGGTAGTGGTGTAACCCAGTCATGCAAGATCAACCACCTGAAATGCGCAGAAGATATCGGGAAAATTCTCTTTTTTTCTTCGTATAGCTCAGAAAAAAAAATCTACCATGGTACCAAAAGCTATGACAAGCATGTTAACAAACCTCAAGCCTCTGATTTCAAGCCTATCACTTTCGAAGCCAAACATTAATTTTCAAATCCATGTTAGAGCATTTCACATACTTGAAATTCGGAAATTGTTTCAGAGGGATTGATAATTATAATTTTACATCCCCTCAGCCGTGGAGCTCACCATGCCCTATTTGTGATGGAAAACATGGGAATTATGGATTACATGGCTCATGGTATGGAACAGAATATTGTCTTACTTGCTTCACTTCAGGCAATAAATTCAGGTTCGCGATTGTGGCTTAGACCGGACCGATCACCTGAAATGCGCAGAAGATATCTGATATTGGGAAAATTCTTGCCGATTGAATACCAATCATTATAAGAGGTTTTGGTACAATTGTGGTCAATGATCTTATAATAAATGCATGTTTAAATTACAGATAAATATCGCAATATTGGGCGTCCGAATTTATTTTTTATCACTATATTAGTAAAGTGAAAAGTAACCTGTGCTTTATATTTTTGCAATGGTAGGTATACAGTCGCAATGAATAAAAAAAAAATTAAGTTTTATAATCTATTTTAGCATGATAATTAAATCTTCAATTTTCCAATAAATCCAATAAATCTTTTATCCATTCCGCAAACAACACTCCCGGCCCAAAGATTGATATCGCTAGAGTTGGTTCTACACGATAATGTAACATTACTCCCACTCCTATCCCAGAAGCACATAACGGCAATAATATATAAAACACATCAATAAAAAACTCTTTATTAAAAATATATTCTTTTGTATGAAATAAAATTGATATAATCGAAATTGATTGGATCAAGTACGTTATACCGTATGAAATTATTTCGTATTTTGAATCAGTATTTCCCGAACTACCCCAAATAATAAGACCGATGACAGTTGCACAAACAAGTGTAATAGTAATAAACTCGACCGTCAATTTCTATTTAATTGAAAGGAAATTAAGGATACGAAGAAACTAAACAGTCATTTAAGTGAAATAGCTCAGTGAATTTAGAAAAAATAACAAAAAAAAAAATAACATACTCCTTGTCCACGTTGTTTTTGTTTTACGGATTGTACCGTTGTAAGGTATTTCTTTCTTACTTCGTTATCTCTAAAACTAGTAAATAATTCTTTCCCATCTTTAGGCAAACCGTCGTAAACATCTCGTAATTCTTTCGGCAAATCTTGCAGAAATGCATTTAACTCATTCTTTCGACCTTCTTCTACTTTATTGTTTTCTTGACTCTTTGGGTCTCCTACTCTATCGTTTTCTTCATTTTCTAGAACTTCATTTACTCCATCGTTTTCTTGATCCTTTGGGTCTCCTACTCCACTGTAATTTTCATCTTTTAGACCTTCTTCCACTACAGTTAATGACAATGTATTAGTAAATTTAAACCGTATCCTTCCTAAATCCTACCTATAATACGTACATGTACGTAAAGCAATCTTTCCATTCATGATTAACGTTAAAAAATATTATACTGAAAAATCCAAAGAATTAGAATTTAAACTAAATAGATGATGATATATTACGTCATCGATAAAAAAAATGATACTACTTTCCGGATCAGGATAAAACTACGGAGGTTAAAAAAGATTTTGTAAAAGGCGTCGCACAATGCGCAGTCCAGATATGGTTGGTAAAGTTTTCGGGATAGTCACCAAAATTTTATTTTATGGAATGTTCGTTAAATAATCAGAATAGGCCAAGCTTTAAACTATCGGAACCAGTGGTCGTTGTATATAACAATGAGAATATGGAAAACATGGTTGGGAAAGTTCTCAGCCATATTGTTTAGTTGCTGGAAGCCGGACTCCGCTCTTGGCATAGACAAAGAGAGGGAAATAAAAAGGGTAAAATCATTGAGCAACCTCGCAGGAAAATCGAATTAGAATTTAGGGACAGATAGGGCTTAGGATAGAAATGTAGAAACTTCGTCATATATCATGGGCAATGTCCCGATCTTGTATTTATTTTTCGCATGTAATAATAAAAATTTCCCTTGGCGAACTCGGTTCGCCCAAAATCACGTGTTTTTTTTATTTTGAATGCTTATATACATTGTATTAGATCATGTCATACGAGCTTGAATTATTGAAACATCGCATCACTGAACTTGAGGCTGAGAATACAGAGCTTAGGAAGGAGAATACTGAGATCCCCGATCTTAGAAACAAACTCCTTTCATTGAATAATGAAAGAATAACTGAACTTAAACCGGAAATCGTTATTCCTAATAGGATACAAAAAATTAAGGAGTTCGATCTCCTTTATCCACAGATATAAGTAATTGCGTCACAGGCATGCATAATCTGCCGGGGGGAATTATCCATTCAATAATTGTTAAGATCCCAACCTTTCACGGGATTGGCTAACGCATCCAAGAGTGCATTATGTTCTTTCGCCCCAAATGTATTAGACCTAGAGAATGCATCGAATAATCTATTTTTTTCTCGATCAGATATGTCTGGAAGACGTCTGGTAAATTCCATGAGTACAATGTTCCGATGACGAGCTTCCCGGGTTTGATAAAGTTTTTTCAAAGCATCTTCACCAAAACGTCTTTTATAATCCCATCCGGTATATCTTTTCCTAGGGTCCCAATAATTGTCCTGATCATCATCACTATCTTCTTCGTCGATGTCAGATTCGTTATTGTCGTCGTCATCCATGTTGACGGGCGCGACTTCATTATCTAATAATCCCAAAGCCTCCAAGAATTCGTATACCTCAATTTTATCACCAGCACTAGTGTCAGAATAGGTTTGTTCCATGACGATAATATACCAAAATACCTTATCTTCAATTTAGGTTATTTAGCTTCTCTCGTCTATGGTCACTCCGCACTGTAGTAAATACCCAGAAAATATGTTACGTCACTAAACATGATAAAATACTCATGATATTTGATGATCCGTACCTTAGTCAGTAATGAGTCCCACCATCTCTCCGGTAACCGCCTAGAAGAATTATTGGGCGAATCAATTACTCGCATTGAGTGAATTATGTATTTCTTTTTTTCGAATCACGTGGGTGGCTTAGGTGCACAGTTTTATTCTTCTCCGCAGTAATACGTCACTGGTTCACATCCGCAGAATATTCTATGCGCAGTAAGACGTCATTGAATTATATCCGCAGTTGGTATTAGTCATGTGAATTAGTGAGACTTGCAAATCTATGGGGCCAGATCGTGGGGCTAGATCAATGAATAATTAATCCGTTGACTATTTTTCCGGAAAGTTCTGGACTTGTAGCGTAACACGCATATTACGAATCTTTGGATTAGCATTATTACGCAAGTCAATCTAATATCCCTGATGTTAGAATGGGACAAGAATGGAAATTGCGCCTCTTAATCTACCGATTTACAGATCTTGATCCTATTGAAATGTAAGGGGCCTACATTCTACATAATAAAACAAATTTCCATTTACGGGTCGTTAATGGATTTGTATTGGGGTACGAATAGGGGCTTAAACAACACAAAAAACATGCGCGATCTTCCAGATCTTGTGTGATCTTAACGATAAACAGTATATTTCTTGATAACAGCCTCATCTTTATTACTCCATTAATATTAAATCACAGCATATCAAGTTGTCATAAAATCGTAATTTGTCAGATTTTATTTTAAGCACTATTGTTAAATGCGCCTCAAATTCAGGGAGGAACATTTGTTATTATTAGGGATCCAGGCCGTTATAATTGTTTTAGCTGAAAAAATATAATTATGAAAAATGTAGTTATGATGAATACACATAATAAAGCAACGTAATTTTTTGATCTATTTAAATCGGGTTAAATTCTCTTTTCGCGCGTAGTAGGCATACAGTATAAAATAAACCCTTTTCCCAGCGCATTTACGCAAGATAACTATTGCTATAAAAAAATCAAGCGTTAATATCTAAAAAAACTTGATCCACCAATAAAATCTCAATAAAATTACTACGCATCAATTTACCTAATCATGTCCAGTTTGTCATTGCTCAACTCTTCGGGGGTCATGCCTTTTTTGACCTTAACCGCTGTTTTTTTGTTCATTGGTCCAGTGTTAATCATGGGGATCGCTACCATGTGGTCAAATCTCAAACAAAAAATTTCTGATGAACTTTCCGCACATGTCATCAAAATACTCATCGATCTTGGTATACTAAATAATATACCAAAGAGGTCACTTCATGACCAGATCTTTACTGAACTTAATGATAAATTTGACACATGTATTTCCGATATTAATTCTATTTTCACTGAGAAGCTCGACAGAATCAATAATGATCTTAATAGTAAACTTACTGCGGAAGCTGAAAAAAACGAGGCACGTGATGATGACTTCACTAAGGAGACGCATTTAATGATCAGTACTGTTACCGAAAGGCTCGATAGGATCGAAGAAGCCTGTCGTAATGATTTTGGAAACATTTCGTCCGAATTTACATCAATCAAAGCTTCTATTGAAATTCTTCAAAATGATTTGGCCCAACGTTATGCGGTTGTCCGAAGAGCCGATTTTGATCAACAAAGCGTGTCCAATGAATCTGAAACTAATGGATCTGGGCTGGAAGTTCGCTAGACTCTGCCTCAGCTTCAACTAGTTCAAGCTCTTCATCTGAAGGTTCCAATTTATCTGGAATTTTTGATATTACTGGAGACATTAAAATTCGCTTTAAACAACACTTTGATCGACTTATGAAGGCGAGGAATTATACTTTTGATGAGATGTGTTTCTCGGTAGTTGTTGATATTCGTAGTCTTGGAGGGAATATTAAAATCTCAACAGTGAAAAATTTTTATGGTGGTGTTGGTCGCAGTACAGTTCCTACTGTTAATCAGATAAACGCATGGGTAAATAGTTTTAATAATAATAATGCGGAGTAGCGGGGAAGGAACTGCCAGTATATGAGTTAGGGCTCGGCAGGCATTTATGCTTATTCCTCCCTTGAAACAACCTGCTACTCTATTGTTTTTTACTTTCATTTTTACTTAGCCGGCCGGCCTTTTCTCATGTATTACATTGCAATAAAGAATGTTTTGATTGATTTTTAAAATGTGTGCGTTTTACAAATGTAAATATAAATCTATACATGTGCTATTCAGGTGATTATTAACTCTCATGATAGTAAACTAAATGATTCCCGATTTATACTTTCATTTGAGAGAAATGCATGAAGCGTCATTATGCGTGTAAACTAAATGATTCCCGTTTTATACCTTCATTTGAAGATAATCTCCAACGCTGTATCTAAGACACAATTTGTTAATATGTAACCATATTTACATTCAGATAATATTCGTTTATGAGTAGAAAGCAAATTTAATAATAACTACAGAGTAGCGGGGAAGGAACTGCTAATACATAGGTTAGAGCTCGGCAAATCTGCCGACCTTTTCTCGTGTATTACTTTTCGAAAAAATAATGAAATAAAAACTAATTTGTAGAAACATATAAAATATTTGCTAAATTGCTAATGTTAACTATTTTTTTGCTCTCTTTAGAAATTCATCTTCAGTTTCATCTTCTTCAACGTAATGTTTTGGTTGAAGATACTGAGGTGGAGAAGGAATAATGCGGTCGGCGATAATCTCTCTGTCTTCACGAGACTTACTATATTCTGGAAGTGCATCGACATGTCCACCTGCGTCTTCTCCTGTATCAATCGATTCTTGATAAGAGGGGTCATACGACGGGGGATTGCCCGATTGAGAAGTATTAAGAGGTATAGTATGCTCGAATATCGTTGGGTTTTCAGTTGTAAGCGTTACAATCTGCTCTTCAAGGCTTGTCCCGGGATTATTCTGAGTCGAATCTATTCCTATTATTGTATAATTTGTAATCAATTCAACACATTGATTTCTTCAGATAACCATTTTTTCTAAAAATCAAGGATAAAGAGGACAAACTAAAACGAATACCCATTTAAAAGTAATCATTTACCTTGCTGGCTTGTCATTTTGAATTGAAGTTTAATACTATTTTTTTGTGGATATATTTATATAAGTTTACACATTCCCGATAAGGTCTATCACCTATCTCAATCAGCATGCTCAATCAGCTGAACTATCAGATGCTGTTGCGCCAAATTCCTGATTAGGTCTAACTCCATCAGTTGGATCATCAGGCGCCAAATTCCTTGATCTTATCTCATTAATCACCATCTTTGAAATTTGAATCGTGATATTCCTTAATATAGGTTGATAATATCATGATATTATCTAGTATAGGTTGATAAAGAATCGATATAACACATTGAAATTGCTATAATTCGTTAAAACGCTATAAATCACTAAGATCAGTTATAAACTATAAAAATGGATAGAACGAATTACTATTCTGGTTTAAACCCTATAGTGGTGCAGGCGCTAAACAATCTGCAATATAGGTATAGTGGTGAAATGCCAGAAATGTGGTGTTCTCGTGTTCGTTATCCTTTTAAGAAACTTCTTGAATATAACCCAAAATACTTTTCCAAGAATGGATTTATCCAAATGGTTGAAAGGGTATATATAGATGGGGAATTTAAAGCTGGGAGATGCTCATTACATATTTATTGCACTGTATGCGACTCCTTAGTAATTATTCGTGAAAATACCATCGAATGTGGCAATGATCATCTGAAGAAATGTATTGCTAGAACGGCCAAAAGGCGCAGTACATCTATACAAAAGAATACAAAAAAGGAGATTGAAGAGATTTATCTAACATATTGTTTTAAATTCAGTAAAGGCTTATCTATTTATTCCTATGCTGATGATTATGAAACTTGGAAAAAGCATGTAAATCATTTAATCGATACTGTAAAAGTTGTCCAACGGGCTTGGAGAGCTTTCAAGTTGAGACCTGAAACTTGGGCAAAACGAGTTTGGAATATGGTGAGGAATGATGGTACTCCTGACAAGAAGAAGTTTCTATCTCCTCGTGGTAAAAGAGATATTTATGATCCATATGTATGGTATATTGATCTAAAAATTCTAGCTAAAGATTTACCTGAATCTTTTCTGAATAATCTATATGATGGTCATATTCCACGCGAGTGGGCAGAAAAGAAGAGTGATCAGTTACATAATCGATTAGGTAATATAGCATATATAGTTGCTTTTATAGTATTACATCAGCAAGGCTATAGAATCGTTACATATGGTGATTGGTCTTATATGTTAAAGTGGCTATCGAATCCTGAATATTACCGTATTAATGAATATTATAACAATGGCAACGTAAACTTTGTTAAAAGTTCAGAATATGCGCGTTATAGATGTAAAATAACAGGCAAACCATATCCATGTGATTCGCTAGAAATTGACTATTTTAAATCTGAATATGGTTTTACTATCGAGGGAAAGTTTAACATTATAGATTTCTCAGATTCTAATAATAATTGTGAATATGTGTGCCGAGTTTTTTGGGCCATAGATTCTTTATCAAAATAATATAGTATTATATTTATGTATAATTATTAGCCAAAGACGCTTTACTTAATAATACAATAAATCATTTTTTTACTTTCATTCGCTTACTCCACTACAATGTATGGGTGATCGCCTAGTGAAATGTATCACCTTCATAATTTATGTGAAATAAAAATTGTGATCCGCCTAATCTGGGTTAGACCAGCCATGCGACAGAAAATAAACGTGTTTCTGATCCCGTTGAGTGGATATGATGTAATAAGTAATACTCTATGCTTGTGCGACGAAATAATTTCACACACCCAAAAATATTTCGAATTTTTTTCCCTAGCAACGTTTAGTGGAATAGCATTTATTTGTGAGTTTATTTCTCCAGAGCTACAGGCTATTTCTACTATATGGGGTTCACTAATTTCGACAGAAATACATTATATAACGTTGCCAGGTCTTAGTATTAAGCGGTCAGGCGAAAAAAAAGTTCGTATATGCATATTCCCCAACGCCTTTGCAATGTTGAGATCTACAATGCACATTCCGCATGTCTTACTCTTAAACATAAAATTTTGGCGTAAAGTGCCTCGCATATTCTCCTTTCTCTTCCCCCCCAACATGAACTCGGGTTCAGAGAAATGTTAATGGGGAATGCGAGACATTTAAAAAGGGCAAGTATAGATTATATTATTTCTTAGTTTTTCTCTACACCGAAATCGTATTCAATAATGTCTAACTTAGTATCCAAAATCGAAAATATTTTATTAAATGGACCTTTAGATGCAGTTTGTGGCGCGAATGTAGTTTATCTAGCAATGAATGGTAATGACTTAGGTAATTATGAAGATGTTAGAACTTTAGCGGATAGCGCCGTGAATTCTGCATTAATGAAAGTAACTGATATGGAACGGAGAATGAAAATCTTAGAGATTCTAGCTGAGGTTAGTGATATATTAATTAGAAATTTTTTTTGTGTATACACTTTTATGATGATACTACAACAGATGAACTATATGGCGGTCACTGCTGAAGGTTGGGGAAATGCCGTCCCGGAAGAGCGATATCTTTAAGGACGCTTCGAGATGTCGAGGGTACTATTTTCCCTGGCTGTGCGTGACTTTTTTGCCAGATGTTTTTAGCCTTATATAATCTGAAAAATGGTACCATAATGTGTGCACACAATGTATATTTCGCGTGGAATCTAACATTTTCATCGGTTGTAGATGACGATTGCATACAAAAGCATTAAAGGTTTGAGAGCGATAAAGGCACTAAATACGGTAATATTTATATAATTCGGCTTATAAGTTCCTACGAAAGTCAAGACTTAGTGTTTTGATATTTCCTGGTATAGGATAAGGAAGCTATACAAGAAAAAACGCGAGAAGAAATAGAACAAAATTATAATACGTTAAAGTCAAAGCTTAGTGTAGGTATTAAATTATCTGTATTACGCTCTCGCTTATTAAATTTAATCGATAATCCCTTTTCCATGTAGAACCCCAAGACCGATTCGGATACATCTCTTTACGATGCCCTAAAGAAAAATTTAGTGAATCATATCGATCCTGGCAATCTTTCATGGCGAGATCCTGAGGCGAATATGGTTTTAAGCGACAAGTCAGTTTTAGTAGAAAAATTAGGACAGAGACAAAAACGTGTTTTCATGGTAAATTTATATAAACTATATCTGTAAAACGATATCCAGTTTTTTTACACCTATATTTATTATCAGGAGCCGTATGAAAATATGAAATGTACATTGCCCGAATCAGTTATTTCTAAGTGTGAGCAGTTCGTGTGCAATTTTAATAAGCCGAATATTACAAATATGTCTAGAAATATTGTACACGATAAGACCTGGAAAGAAAATATATCTGCATTGGAAAAAAGAGCCGAGCGTATACTAAGTGTACTGTAAGTACTTTTCTCGTGTAGCTAACTAATAATTAACTTAACTTATTTGTCTTGTTTTTTTCCTTTTAGCGGGGATATTTGGAATAATCCAGCGTTCGAAAACAGCACAACTCGTAAAGAACAGAGCGAAGGGACTTACATTACGGATGTGGTAATACCTTTGCTTCGAGCTAGTTTAGAAGACATGCCAAATGGAAATATTTGTTTAAGCACGTAAGTGAATTTTGAATCTAACTAAGAAATAACTTCATTCCGGGAATAACTTTTTAAGCTGACCTTTTTTCAGAGCAGAACGGCAGAGCTTAGCAAGCAAATTTCGAAGGAACTCCGGCGAAGTAAGCAAAGAACGGATGGGAAAAAAACCAGATGCCATGGCATTAGTAAACTATGGAGGTAGAATCAATGAACTTGTATATGCAGAGTGCTCCCGTATCATTTGTAACGATACAAAAAAATCTAATGATGAGGTAAAGTTGTGGCGAGAAACACTCGATGGTATCAGTTTCGTTAATTTGGTATGCAGACCACTTAACAACCAATTTGGGATAGTAGGTGTTCAGGTTGCTGGAGAAGATATATATTTGAATGTTTTAGTAAATGATGCGGGTGGTTTGTCTCGCTATTTTCATATCGATCACGCTGAAATTCCTCTAACAGTAAAATCACCACGACGGGTAAAACCGCTTTTACGCTTGTTATTAACTTTGAGAAATATTATGATCGTGAATAAGAGTCTACTAATGCAGGCATTAGAACAAGCAATTTCAAATCCACCTCGAAATGTCAACCCAAGCCCTACAGTTTCCACGCCACCATATAATAATTAGGATATAGAAACATCGGACTGTCCGTGCATCATGTAATTTAGTGTGATTTAGCATAGAAATTCCTAGCTTATGTATTTTATTTTTCCTATATCAATAAAGTGCCCTGGTGGCCTATTATTATTTTATATATATATATTTATCTGTATTTTTTCGTGTGGGTGGATATCACCGGATAATAAAAACTTTTTCTTGGCAAAAGTGCGTGAATTTTTTTCACGGTGTCACGTGATTTTTTCTTGATAGGAGACTCGGAGTTAATGTTTCTAACAGATTCCCAGATGCATCACAGTTAATTGTTGAAATTCCAATTTTTGCGTAATTCAGCGAGTAATCACCTAGTAAGAACACATCGCCAGCACGCCTCAGTACTAAGTCACAGGGTGATTCACTGATACATTATTCATTTATTCATGTTGGAAGCGTGATTGGTGCATTATCAATGATCGTCACATAAATACTTGATTAGCACCCAGCTCCCATTCCCACGCTTTTTTTACACACTGCGAAAGTTTATACTATTTTTCAGAGTAGGACATCGGCTCTAGAGTTTTTTTATAACGAGTAGTCCTTTTGTATCTCCCGCCTATTAGTAATATACACCAAGAACCTTTTTTCATCGCAAATCAATGATATGTTAGTGAAAAAAAAAGTCAATTATGTTACAGTATTACAGTAAAAATAAAGAAGCTTACCTCTTTTCACTTGCATCTATAACTAGCTACCACGAAGGCATCGAAACGGAACTTGCGTAAGAAATTGTCCCGATACGCCAAGAAAGCGAAGCTCGGAGAACAAGTTAATCCTATTATAGAAAAAGAAACTGCCGATACTAACAACGACAAAGACAACCAAGACGAGCTCGGCCACAACGACGAAAGAGTTGATATTTTCTACGATCCAAATAAAGTAAGTAAAGGAGATATTTTTATCGGATTAGGATTCTAGTTCTACATATAGCAGAGCTTGAAGTATAGGGGCAGTCAACGCCTTTCGAGGCAGGTCTAGGGGCCGATTGAACCCTCCCTTGCAAAGCTTATTCAGTTTTCTTGGCGTGATCGTCATCTTTCTAAGCAAGGCGTATGTAAGGAGAGGAAGATCACGAAGACTTCCCGCGGTTTTAAAAACCACTAAGCTACATTGTAAAAAAATGATGATTGTATCCACTAGAAATTTTGATGTAATTATTTACGCGAAGCGCCCGGCTAAGCGATATTTTTTTTACTTTATAAAAAATAGCACAAAACCCAAAAAAAGTCACGTCTATCTACAAAAGAGCAATCACGCGAATATATCCACTTCTCATGGATGTCCGAAGATTTCTTATCAAACGATCTCAAATCGGTTAATATCTCTCAACCTACTAGTATTATAGATCCCAAATTTACGTTTCTAGATAAGTTTCTTGAGAAGAGGTTGCAAAGGAAGATCGTTAAGGGGTTGATCGATCAAAGGTTAATTCCGCCAGACGCTGTAAAAACAAACACTTTCACTCTCAAATTCAACGAGCTTTATAATACCCAACTGGATATACTTTCAGAAGCTATTCATAATGAATTATATAAAAATGATGATAATCAGAAATCGTTACCACCACAAAGTATTCAATCAATCCCAACTACTTCTCTAATTCCTACTGATTTTATGAGTCTGTTAGAATCGGAGGTTTTTAGCCTTAGTAGCGAAGCTAATTCTATGAATTCTAGTTCAACACGAGAAAAACTATGGGAGGATTTTGCACGTTGGGCGTATTTTTTCATAGGACCGAATTTTAGAAAGCAGTTTCGGGATCATTGTCGTCGTCTTTGGTTAAAAATTGAGCATGCGTATCAAAAATTAAACGATCAAAACAACACATTCGAAGAGCAAAATATTAGTAAAATATTCCAGCGCAATCCGCAGGACAAACTATATATCGCGGAGGAAACAACAAAAAGGGTAGTACATGGGATCGATCTTAAAGGCTACCTTCACATCTTCAACCCACAATGCTTTAAAAATACATTCGGGGAAACTCTGGTGGATTTTTTTGATCTTACTAATCCCGTAGCTGTAAAAGAGGCACAAATGGTAGTAAATCAATATTATGATCACACCCGTACCCATCCCTCCCACCAATCTAAAAATTTTGCAAAGGATCTATCAGAACATTTCTGCGGTTTTACTGATAGCAATAACGAACCGTATACTACGGCCAATACTATGTCTAATCATTGTCGAGAACATCTGGGATGTGTTCAAAAGTTAATCAAAGGACTTCAGCCTCTCTCAAATGCGGTTAACGATTATTTTAATAATACATATCCGGTTCTATATGCTAAGATGAAAAGGCTCGATCTTGGGCCTAACGTTCCAAAATCATTCGGAGCTTTTCCCACAGTTGCCATCAACTTTAACGCCATCTGCCAATTCCATCGTGATTTAAAAGACCATCGTAATACGCTTTGTGTGGTGTGCCCTCTTGGAATATTCGAAGGTGGGGAATTAACGTTTCCTGAATTAAGATTAGTTGTCCATGTTAAACAAGGATATGGTGTGGCTTTTCGATCTAACCTCTTGATTCATGGGAATCTACCGATCACTGTTGGAATTCGACATAGTGTTGTCTTTTATATTCACAACACCGTCATCAAACAAAAGCGGTTGTTCAAGTCTCTTTTTGCTGATTGCAAGATGAATGTAAATAGTGATAATAATTTGGATGGTTCATCGCCAAAATATCTCCCACCAACGCTAGGTTCTGAAAATTCCTCGGTAAAACCAAAAAATCATAGGCGAACACATATAGGTATGTATAATCTTTACATTTAAGCTAAAATGTTTCACAATAAAGGTCTAATAATTATTGTTTTATTAAAAGATATTGAAGCTATAAAGAGAGGATTACCTGCACAGTATAAGAAATCTTAGTTCATTTTTTCACAGACTTCATAAAATACATTCGATAGATGATATATTTTTTGCGCAATCCGGGAGTCGTATAATATCATAATCTGCTATCTATACAGTATATATCCTTACCATTATCACCCATAATTCCTCTGTCATCACCACCTCCACCTACACCTCCTCTATAAATAGAATCTGTAATCATGAACGCCTGTTTCATTGCTTCTAATATATTCATGTATTATAATAAAGTTTTACCTGAAAAGGCTTGTATATTACTGTAACCGTCTGTAACCCATATTACTATTATTCATTTTATTCATGTCCAAATATCAGAAGGCCTGTGTATAGCTCGGCTATGTGATTTATTTTTTTCATGCAAATTGCTCAGAATGCGCAGAATATATTCCCCGAATGTGTAGAATAAAAGAATTCTCAGAATTTTTCTATCGTTTATAAAATGACTAATATGCTAAACCCATCTTTTCACGTATATTACTCGAAACAACTTAACCAACTTCCACGATCCATCAAAATAGATATATGGCGTCGCCTTACATCTCGAAAATACCCATTATCGCTAGAACAGGCAAGTAGTATACACCCCGAAGTGGATGATATGTTAAATCAAGCAGTCGGAAAATATATTAAGAAAAAGGAGCATCAGAAGATGAAGCCTATTACTAGCAACTGTGAAACTTCACTAAGGCAAGAAAATGAGGAGTTGTGTATATCAAAGCAGGTATTGGAAAAAAAGATTGAAGAGCTTCTCGATTTACAAGAACAGTATAAGTCTCGTGAGGTAGCTATGACCAAGTCTTTAGAGGAGAGTGGTGAGAAAGTCGCCCAATTATCAAATTCAGTAGCTTATTTCAAGAGTATAATCCCTGATACGAAAAAAGCTCTTGCATCAGCTGAAAAGTCCATTGACCTGTTAGAGAATAAATGCCGGCACCTGGAGAATATTATTACTGCTAAAGATAGAAAAATTATCGCTCTTGTCGATCAGATTCTGAAGCATAGTGATGCGACTATAGAACCAAAAACTTATTCTAGCAATAGTGAAAGGAAATTATGGGCGAAAAGGCGTATCGAATCTGAATATGATCTAGAAGTTCAGAAAAAATATACATTTCGGGATTTGGCAGGTAAATGATTATCCGAGGCAATTGATTGCCTGGAATGGCTAGTTAGAAGTATTGCCTAACGATTTGATTTCCCTTTCCAAATTGAGCGGAGTGTCCCATCGAAGTGAAAAAGATTCGGATCTTGGTTTATTTATATCGATGACCACAAATTCCTTTTGTCTCAAATAACCATCGAGGACCTTTGAAGCTTTGTGCGGATCAGCATCTGTATAAGGACTTATAATGTCAGCAAGTTTTCGTATTGAACCTCCACTACTGAAGAGTACAATATGCGTTGCATTTTCACGAATATCTGTAGGAATCCTGTGAAATTTTTGTGAGACATAAATAGAAGAAATATTCTCGTGGCGACCTCTACTAAAATATGGAATAATTTTTTTCTGTATATCTGGAGGGTCCGAACAGACATCCTCAAATATCATTAGTGTACTTCTTTTAGCATTGAACTTTTTTGGATCTGGAATTTCATCAGGAGTGAGTGTAGAGAATGTGATTTCTTCATAGTATGGCTTGGATTTATCTTGCGCGAGATATTTATAAAAATTTTGAACGATACCGTATTTAGGCTCATCAAGGTGGTGGCCACATAATATCACATCGTCACATTTAACATTGCGCTCACCTATTTTAGAACTCTTTTTTTTCCTAAACATGTAGTAAAATTTGTTCATCACTAGCAAGTTTAGAATCATATTTGTTTTACCCGAATTGCTAGCCCCTGCAACTATAATCCGAAAAGGCCATGGCGGTGCGTGAGGGTCACCCTGATACTTTTTCGAGGACTTGACTTCATCCACCGCGAATATTACGTATTTCATGATTCTATCTAACTAATTATTATATCGAAAAATAATGTAACAAGTTCCGGCAATAAATGTTCTACCCAATTTTTAGATTGCTTTACCCACTTGCATCATCCAAATATCCCTTTTCGATTAATGTATGTCTAATGAACGGATAAAAATCCGCAGTATAGGGCACTTCGATAAGACATATGCCTTGCTCCTTGCATATATCCCGCTTCTTCTGATCGCGCATTTTCTGTTCATCCAAATCTATCTGGCCTCTCCTATGAAACATTGAATTAAGACTATAGTGTTGCTTGCCATGAAATTCGAATCCTAGTCGCAACTCTTCGTTATATCCATCGAGTTGCATCCCATCCAAAAAATTCGGCCTACATGATGGGAATTTCTTCCCTAACAGATCCTCAAAAATATATCGGCATTGGCGTTCACCGCTTCTATGGTGGCAAAGAGGACACCATTCGAATTTTTTCATGATATACTTTAATGGATACTCCCATTGATGCGCACCATTTTCACAAGACCAAAGATATACATCATGACCATTTATTTGCCCGGTCTTTCTAAGACATTGACCACCACGCTTCATGGCATAATCCTCAGCCTGAACTGACTTACTAGAAGCATGAACATAATGGACGAATCCAGTAGGGTGGTATTTTCGCATAAATTCATCTGGCGGATATTCGATTTTATCAGGCTCTTCAATTTCTTGAAGTTCCTCATATTTAAAGGGCCTTTTGGGATTTCGTCCTATCAGATGAGCAGTTGATTCAATGGGTTCATCCTCAAGATAATATAAGACTGGCTGTGGTGGATTTTTCCCAATAACAACCCTTTTTATCTTAAAGACACGCAAGCTCCAATATGGATCGGTTGCTCTACGTCTATGATCTCCTTCCAACTCACCTGCTTTTAACAGATATCTAA